GGTTGCCCCGGTGCGTGCCCCCATGTCTGGTAGCTGTGCTCGTAGCTATGCAGCTTGGGCGGTGTGTGGGCAGAACTTGGTGAATCACACTTTCAAATCACTCTCCCCCCATCGCCATGCCTTCCACGCTCAACGCAGCCCGGACCAATCGTGTCGAATCTTGACACCTGGGGCTCCCAGCGCAGCCTTGGCCTTGGGTGTGCCCGGGTTTGCCGGCGAGCGCCAGAAGGCGTCCTGGCTCCGCCCCAAACGAGCGCTGTGGGGGCGCTTAGTAGAATGCGCGTGGCCGCGCGTTGAGGGATGAAGCGAGCCAGTGTGGCATTGCCATTGAAATTGGGGGAAATGGTGAGTTTCTGCGAATGTTTATCTTCGTTAGGTAGACGGATTTAGGGTTTCGGGTACGTTGATCCAAAGCAATAGAAAAGCCGGGCGCTCAGGCGCAAGAGACACTGTATATGACCTCAAGAAGTCTAGAAGTGAATCCTGTAGAATTGACTTTGAACTGGGACTTCTCAGGTGAAAGCCATCAAGAAGCGCCTCAAAGTATATAAGATGATGGCTGCCAAAAGCATCCAGGCACCCGGCAAACTTCATCTACATACTTGAACCCCCAAGCGAACATCAATTCAGGCCATGACTCTCTGGTTTTCGCGCCCCTTCCGACTCACCCCCGTCCGACTCACCCGTGCCTCGGTGAAGGAGTAGAGAACCTGAGAATCTGGGCCCACCCGAGGTGAAGACGAGGTTCCTTCTATCACGGGAACGGTCGGACTTTTCTGTTCTGGGAGCCAACCAACCTAATGTCCCTGGAAAATGATCTTGAGTTCGGAAGGGGGACGGTGGGATTGGGTGTGGGTCCCCGTCTCTGCTGGGTCGCTGCATATGTTTACACAAACCAATCCTGTGCCTTTTGCAGAGATGTTGCAAAAGAGATGGAAGAAGGGACTGGATGGAAACACACACCAAGCAAAAACTAGCGGAAATGTACAATGATGTATATAGTACTTCCAGGATAGATAAGATATTCCACAGCCACAAAGGGTGCCCAGTGATGCCCTGTATGTTCTTGGAGGGCAGGATCTGAAGAATGGCTGTTGGATGGCAAACCACCCCTTGCATGGTGCTGGATGTATAAAATCTCCAAGATGACATGGCTACGATTGCCGGTCCAAGCATACAAAACACACTGATGGGCGAATTCAGGGTGTGACTTCACGCTTTGGGATCAGCCGCTCTGCGGGTTCCCTGCCCATGTGTCCTGGGAACAAGGCCATTCGTACCTCTTCATGTGGATCACGTGGCCCAGTCCATGTGTCCAAATGATTTTCGTCTCACTAGACGCCCCCTGCCCAAGAGCGTCATGGTGGAGAAAAGACAGGACGAAGCCGCGAGAAAGGCAAGCAAATCACCCGGTAGCGTCCAGGTGTCACTGCATCCAGGATGCACCCGGCCAAAACATGCTCAAATTTTTTGCAATGAAAAAAGGAGAACACCTCTAAGTGGTCCCAACGCTCAACATCGCGGGTCTCATCCGTCTCTCCTTGTGGTGCGCCTCATCTCACCTCCCATTGGTTCTTCCTTCTCCGACCACAACAGGGCGTTTGTTCTGAACTGCGGGCGTCCGGACAAAGACGCCAAAGGCGGTGATGGGGAACACCAAGGTGGTCAAAGGCACCAGCACGGCCGACCTCGCTGCAAGGAGCGCCGCGTTCCAAAAACCGCCACAAGGGTGGCTTGGGCTACTGGGATTGGGGGGATCGTGGGGGATCATCTCCTCCTGCGGAAAGCAGGTGGGATGATGGTTGTGTTAATAAATGAGCACAACTAAGTGTGCCGCTTTCTCCAAAAGCTCTTTCGTGCTTGTGGTGTCCAGGTGTCAAGGCTCTCCACTTTGAGAGGTTTCCAGCACTGTGATTGGGCAGAAATCCGATGAAATTGTCTAACCTGCTGAGTCCAAAACCTGCAAACTCCTCCTGCTTCACAACATGTCTTGCACTGGACAATGGTCGCACATGAAGGCACCACTCAAAAACCAGAGCATCTTCACACCCTCGACCCACCTACCCCGGGTCCCCACTGAGCGTCCCCAGCCACTTGCGGTTGTCACCATATTTAGCCTCTGCATCTTCTGCCAACATGGTCAACACTGGCAGAGCAGCGGACGCGGCCTCGGCCCGGCCGGTGGAAAGCTGCTGAAAACGGATGTCCTGGTGACATGGTGGGATTCCGAACCATGTCCTGACTTCCTCGAAGTGACAAGAACGAAATTGTCCAACGTCCAGAAGCTGCACTGCGTCGTTCGCCCCTCAACTGCAGACTTCTCCAAGGCATGGTCAGGCACGGTCGAGTTCACTCGAATCCTCGAAGTTCCCTCTTTTTTTGGGGACCAAAGACCGGAGACCATCACCACCACCAGCACCAGCACCACCACCAACACGTGTCCTGTTCCTAATCTGGGGCACGCGCCACAGCAGGGTTAAAGTCGACGCCATTTCGAGCCTCTTCAGACGGTGGTCGGTGGTGAACATCGTGTCGCTGGTAGAAAATCATCGGACCCTTAAACAGACTGAGCCAAACTGGATGATAGGTTGGATATTGGACTATATTGATGAACTTGGACTCAACTCAACGATTGATTGTTTCGATATGATTTGATGACTTCTCACCTTAGCCCCAAAAAGAATCCCAGGTTCTTGCGGGTGAACATGCCCGCCCTGTCGGTCTCTTACGTCCGGGCCAAATGGACAGGACGTGCCCGGATGAAAAACGGAGCTCCAAACGAAGAAAGGCATGAATCATGCCCTGGCACTCTGCTTTGGAAAGATAGGGGGTGGCCTATGGCATTGGACAGATAGGCACTGTTTCTGGTATTGAAAGGCCCAAACATGAAGATGAATAGTGCCTTATCTTTTTGCCAACATAGGATCTATTTCGGTACGATCATGGACATACGGCGGAAGCAGTGGATTCGCTCGCTCGTTGGCTCGTGCGCTCATCCGCTCGTCTTGGGGGCGTAAGCATGTCGTTTTAAAAGTTTATGGATTTAGCTGAGACCTCAAACCGCATTGATTTGATTGGGTTTGGTTTGATCTGCTGCTGATTGATACATGCAGCATCGCTTCATTGCCCGAAAAGCCATCTTCAGCTGCCTTGGGCAGATCACTGCTGCTGGGCACGAAGCAGTACCTCAAACCTGCCGATGCGAAGGGACATGCGAAAACACATCGCCAGCCAGCTCCACACGGACAAAAGGAAACACTGAGTGGTGAGAAGCGTGCGACTGATTCATGGCCTTTGACGTCAAAAGCTTTTGTACCAAAAAAGCGAATATATAATATAAATTCGCATGTGATATATATATATATATAGTAAACACACATATATAAATACACTAAGGATTCTATATATAGACCACCTGTGATTTGGTGTTCCTCACCCTGAGACGTCTCTTGGATGTTCCGCACTGTTTCCTTGTTGGATACGTGGGTGTTCCGCTTCGCAATGCTTCGCTTCGCCTGTTCGGTTCCTTTGGGACCCGCTTGGGCGCCCACCCACCAGCACTGCCGCTGCCACCAGCACAAGCAGACGTCCTGACGAGTTTTTGTCCAAAAAGGACCGCCCTGAGGTCATTGGTCGCACCGCTTCGAGGGAGTGGGCTTAGGAGGGTCGAAGATTGACCGTCAGACCCAGACGGTCTGAGGCTTCCCAGGGCGTGGTCGATTCTGTAGGCTTCGACAGGTCGATTCTGTCAGCGAATCTGTAAAAAATCCACCCTCAAATCGCTCGGAGCGATTGAAAAAATAGACATCATCGCCTGATGACCTACGTCAGGGACGAGAATCCCCAATCACTGATGGGGAAAAGGCCCAGGCGATCCTAGGTTCCGGTTCCCAACAAAAAACATCAAAGAAAGAACCTGCGGTTCAGGGGAGAAGGCCATCCATTCTTTGAGACTGCTCCTCCTCCGGGCCCCTCCCTTCCACACCTGGGCGAGCCATTGATGAACACCTGCAGGGCACGCACGACACTGGAAGTGTCTGGAACGCGCGACCAGTTGCGTGATCCGATGGTATCGGCCATGATGCTTGGAAGAGAAATCTAAGGCAGCAGAACAGCAAATTCTTTCTTCCCAGCATCGTGCTTGAAATCTGAAGCGAATGAAGTCAGGTCCAGGTGTAATAACCGGAAACGAACGAAGCAGGTAATTGTTGAATGTAAAGTCACGATGAATAAACCTCCCCTAGTTAATCCGAGCCCACAAAGCCTCAGAAAATTGCCCAATATATAAAGTAGCATTGGTGGCTTATTTTTACCCTGAATCACTTAGTTGGTCAAGGTGTCTATAAACCACCCTTTCCGTGGTGCTGGTTAAAAAAGAATCGCCCCGGGTCCCAAAGCAAAACCTATTTCGAGTCTTAAAGACAATCAAAAGCCGGTCCTCATCCCCCCGTGTGAAAAAAAGAAATCATGAACGCCGCCTCAGTCGGTCCGGAATGGCCTGGTTCGACGCGAGGGTTCTGCGCGTCGCGTCGCTGCTGGCGTCGGGGCGAAGCCAGAGGGGTCTGGACGCCGAGGTACCAGCGCGAGCCGAAGCCGTGTGAGCCAAAGTTCCGGAGTGGTTTCGATCGCTGCAGGAATACGTGATACATGATGGATGAAAAAAATGATGAGATCGTATGCATCATCCGGATCTGTTTGCATCTTATAGGCGAAAAATACAGAAAACAACGAGTAAACCCGTGGCGGCCCCATGGTGAAGTGGACAGTTTGACTGTCCTGGTGGCAGAGGCAGAGCACATGTTCTGATTTGAGGTATCCTCACCAAAGTTGCTGATCAGGCTGATGCCTCTCCTCCATCAGTCGATGCTTTTCCTTGACCCCCGGCCGGAAGCAACCCATCCAAGGCACGCTTCTCGTTTTCAGCACACCCACAAACATCATGATGGAGGCCAAGGACTACTTCCATGCCAGCCATTTCAGCACGGACATCTTGTCTATGCTGTGCTAGGGCATTAGCAGTGCCATGGCAGTCTTTCACCACAGCTAGATGTTCACTTAAAGAAAGATTAAACTAAACAAAGCTTAGTATGGCTAAATGCTCCATGTTTCCATGCTCGCTGAGGCCTTGAGGCTTTTGCGGCGATCAGTCTGGATGGATTGGCGCTGAGAAGCTGGTCGCTTGTCTCGCTTGCCTCGTGGCAAGAAGATCAATAAGCGGATTCTAAAGGCGCTGGGTTGGGATGGTTTGCAGGTTGTTAGGCAAATGAGAATGAGTATTGTTTTGACGTCAAACATGGGTTCTCTGCCCCACTCTGGCTCCATGGCTAGTTCCCAAGCTGTGATGACGCAGGTAACTGCCGCGGACGTGACGTGGTGGACCGAGTTTCACGAGCTGAACGACGCGTGTCGAGAGCTGCCTCAGGTGGGTCTCAGTGTCACTGATTGCAGGTCGTGGTAGCCCTCAGCCTGCAAAGGTGATGAAACCCCTGACGGTTTACCCGGTGCAAACCGTTGGGCAACAAAAACGGATTTCTTTAAAGGGTTTTGTGGGGTTGGCTTAGGGTTTCGCTTCAGGGATGGGAAAGGGAATCGGCAGAAATACCCTCAAGTAGTTTGAAAGAAGTCCTTCCTGATGGCCATGGCATGCCATGGCGCGCCATGGCAACAGCGACGAAACCCCAAACCTCGGCGAAATGCACACCAACAATCGCCAGTCAAAGGGCCCCCGGCTGTTGGAGCAATCCAATCAGCTGCATATCTCGAACTTCGGTGAGATCCGCCAAATGTGGATCAATATATACCGAGATGGTCCGCTTGCGGAGATATACAGCAACCAGGTATGCATGCACATATATGTGCATTCTGAATTCTTTTAAAAGAAATAACAATATATAATAATAGTAATAAAAATAACAATAAATAAATAAGCCTCCAAACTTGGAAGACTTGCTTGCCTCAATCCGAAGGTGACAGTGGTTTTTGGATGCTTTGGGGTTGATTTACAGCTCCTTGGACCAGCCAACTTCACGCCTGGAGGCGCCGCAGGACCTCCTGCTGCACTTTGGGGCCTCGGACCGCCACTCGGAAGGACGACAAAGAGAGACAGAAGGATCCAGGTTGAGTTAAAGGTGATTTTGGATTCATGATGATTCTGCTTTTCATCCCAAACGTCACCTGGGAAAAATGGATTCCTTTTGCACTCAAAATCACCTGGTGAACTTCCGAAAGAAACCATGGATTCTTGATGATTCCTGCTTTTCATCCCAACCAAAAAGTGCACCACGGACTTCATGGGGGGGTTAAGGAGTCAAAGACTTGGGCGAAAACTAGGGAATACGTGGCTTGCCCGCTCGATGTAGCAAGATGTAGCAAGCGCAAACTGATAGCTCATGATAGCTCGATATGTGTTTGTTAGTGACCCACGTGGTTCACCATTGTTGGTGCTGAATCCATCAAGTGCTACGATCTGGCATTTTGATGTCACCGATCCTCCAATTTGCGCGGACCAATCCGGCGAAGGTCGTCCTAAACGTCTTCATGTGCAACTCAGGGCGCCTGGCGCCAGCTGACCTCCATTGGGACGTTTCAATCCCATGTGCGAAGAAACCGGTGGTAGTCGAAGCCCACAGGTTCAGGGTGAACAAACACCACAAGCGAATTGAAGGCACGGGGATGTGCCGCGGCCGCATAGCCTTTTGGCTGCTTGAGCCCTCCCTTCTCGGAGAGGTGCGATCTGAGGCCGGAACGTGTTCCTAACAAATGCACAGCGTGCGTTTCACATCTTGGAAAAAGCAAAATGGCCTTTTCAAAGGCCAGCCACATCGGCTAGCCAGGCCTCGGCCTCCGCTCGAGTCGTGCTTGCGAGCTGGAGGAACCGATTTCCAACCACAACACTTGCCTTGTCGATCGGCGAGTGTGGGTTTGCACAGTAGCTACACCCTCTCACATATTGCCGGTTTCGGGGAATCATCTGTTCGACCAAGTGGCAGTCTTCACGATGCCAACACTGGCCTTGACGAGACACCACGATGGTGACGCCATGGGGACACGTGAGCCAGTGGTCATCCAGCATGTCCAGGAGTCGGCGGATGATGACCGATCCATCTTTGGCCAGTGCCTTGTAGTCCTCATTCTGCTGGAGCAGGTGGTTGTTCTCAGCTTGGGCTAAACACATGGCTTTTCGGGCTTCAATGCATGCCCTGAGGTGGTTTCGGTTCTCTTCCGTCTCCCGAGCCAGTAGTTCCCTCAAACGACGTGGAACGACGGCTTCATCTTTCTGGACTCCCACGCTGGCTGACGCTGCTTTGGTCTTGCAGCAAAGCCACAGGCACAGGTAGGCAAGCATGAGGATCAGCGCAATCCCCAGACCCAGCCAGCCCAAGTCCTCCATGTACTCGGAGGTGTTGGTGTCGTTGACCCAGCACATATCCGAGCGAGCCTGACAGGTGGTTGCCATCAAAAACAGCATGACCCAAAACATGATATTCTTCGTGCGACTCTTGATGGGGTTGGAGCTGCGGCATGCGACATGGCTAGAGGCGTACACATACACAAAAGGGAGGTGATTGGCAACAAACATGGCATTCTCATGCAGGCCATCGTTGACATTCTCATCAACCTCTTCCTTTTCAGTGAGGCCAGGTGCTTCAGACACATGGGGGTGCTCGAAGGTGACTGTGTGACCAGGTTCAGCATGATTGGCTGTGGTTTCTGCCAGCGCTGACATCTTCTCACCTTTTGTTTTCTTCTTCATGGCAGTGTAGCTCGGGTCCCAGGTGAGCTTGATGCGATGATGTCGCAACCGGGTGGCAAACAAGCCACGTGCTGCCTCCTTCGTCAGTCCATCAGCGACCTGTCGGTCTGAGCTCATCCATTTGAGCAGCCCACCCAATTCCTGGAGTCTTTCCTTCATGACCCTGATCTCGAGGCTGACTCGCTTGTCGACCACGGATGAGCTGGTGGCCTCTCTGTGAAAGGCATCATACAAGGCCTTCGCATCAGTCACCATCACGGGGCGAAGTGAGGACTGAACTTCCAGCAAACCTTTCAGTGAGAGGTCCGGTTCGAGGAGGTGATGCCAATATCGAGCCACGAAGTCGACCGCGTCGCTGGCCTGTCCACCGGCCTCAGCCTCCGCTCCAAGAGACGAGCGGGCAACTCTGGAAGTTTTGAAGCTCTTCCAGTCGAGGACATGGTAGTAGTCCTCCTCATGGGACTCCATCAGCTTCCCATTGACCAGCATGATCACGTAGCCACCCTGCGAAGTGCCATCATTCCTGGTCGAGAAACCAGCATCAAAGAAGCAAAGCAGTCGCAGGTCGTGGGGCGAACCAAGGTGCCGGTACTGCAGGCCGATGTCCTTGTTGTCCTTCGCAAACTTGAGGAGGCGATTGCAATCCAGAACAGTTTGCACGGTCGCCTTAGTGACTTGGCCAGCCAGCAGCGAAGTGCTGCATTGCAGGTGAGGTGCAGTTTGTACCGCAGGCCATTGCAGCGAGCCAAGCAAGCCACGAAGTTGAGTGATTTCTCGCTCCTTCAACATCTCTGCAGGGGACCGCTTCTTGTCCAAGCAGATGGGCTTGACCTTCTCGAGGTACTTGGTTTGGTACAGGCAGGTACCGCCATCATCCAACTTCTCGAGCTCACAACCACAGTACTCTAGGACTTTCTGGTCTTCTTTCCATTCTCTGAATGAGAAGTTGGCCTTGAGCTGGGACACCACGGCTTGGTATCGTGGACTCTTCAAGCATCCAGCGCCCAAAAGATTATCAACATGCATGATGACCATGCCCACGAGACGTCGGTCACCCATGGCATTCACTTCAAAGTGCACTGGATCATCAGGGTTGTAGTTCTCATCGTCCAGCTCGTAGACCAAGAAAGCGCAGGGGTCAAGCGCATGCTGCTTCAGTCCGCCTCGCTTCAGGCGGTCAACAGCTTCAAGGAACCAGCCACGGGGAGCATCGATTTGGCCATAGCAAGGCTTCAGGAGAAGCATGCGAGTGTTCTCATCACCACCAAGCAAAGCCAGGGCCTCAGCAGGTAGTTTCACCCATAGCTTCCGATCCTGTTCACGGCCCTGGAGGAAGGCAGTGCTGACGTCCGCGGTCCAGGTAGACCATCCCATGGTCGCCGCCAAAGAAAGCACCATGGAGCGGGACAATCGTGTGGTCGTGGGACTCGAGGTCTCGATCCTGCCAGCCAAGGCATCAGGATCAGCAAAGCCGCGCACGATGAGGCGTGCTTTTGCACGTGGAGTGCCATCAGGGTTGCGAGACCACTTCAACAGGATTCTGGAGGAGAGAGTCCTCGCCGGGTCAGCTTCCTTCACCGTCTGGAAGATCCACACATGGTGGTCGAAGAAACTCTTCAGCTCTTTGATCTTGGCCTCTTTGAACAAAGCACGCTCATGGGGCCCGAGATGACGTTCGTTGATGTCATCCTTTCCTTTCTTGAACTTCTTCATCTTTGCTGCCTTCTGCTCCTTGCCCTGCTGTTTGGCGCTCATGAAGGCTTGATGTGAACCACTATACATCACCAGCTCCTTGCGAGTCTCACCGTTGATCTGGAAGATGGTGGCGCCAGTCCAGGGGTTTGTAACCTCAGGTGGTGCAGAGCTGTCCAGACCATCATCTGTGTAGAGCTTGCCCTTGCCCTTCGATCCGTGTAGAAGAGTCACACGAACCTTGAGCTATTGGCAAGCGACCCCTTCGTGGAACAACATGATGTCGGATCAGGCATCCAGCTCGCAACTCCCAGTAGTCAGTGCTTCGGTTGTTGAGCTGCAGGAATCCATGTTCATCCATGTGCCAACCACTCGGAAGAGCCGAAGTGTCCAGGTCCTCCAAGTAGAAAGCCCGACCAGTGATGGCATCGTCAGTGCTTGAGGTCGGCCGAGTTGAAGGATCATAGGGCGCGACAGTGCTCATGGATCTCTGACGAACAGGTGCAAAGCTCAGCGTCTCCTGCTGGTTGATGCGAGCACGACGTTCCTGAAAGGTCTCAGGGCGTGATGGAGCCTTGTAGAGTGCTGCTGTTCTTGGATCCAATGGAGGTGGATCAGAGGCACTGTCAGCTGTCGGTGGTAGTGGTGCATGTGGCGTGGCCCCAGTGGATGGAATTGGTGGCTCTTCACTCGGCTCCGAAAGTGAGTCCAGAGTGCTGGGGACATGAGGGAGCTCGACACTGGCTGTGGCTTGTGGTTGTGTTTCTGCCGCTGCCGTGTCTGCTGCTGCCGGAACGACTGCTGCTGCCGCTGTTGGTGTGGCTGCCGCTGACGGAGGTGAGGTTGGTGTGTAGTCTTCATCGACTACTGTGTCGGGCATAGCAGTGGACACTGGTAGCGGTGGCAAAAGCCGAGGCCTCTGTCGTGGCGGTGCCATTTCATGATCAGAATCATCCATCAGGTCTCCATCAGTGGACTGCCTAGAGAATCCGACGGTGTGCAAGGGAGAGCGTTTTACACAAACGGCAGCGACGCTGCCGTTTTTCACGAACGTTGTCGTTTGTGTCGCATACACGACAATTGTCGTTTGCGTCGCATACATGGACATATTACCATGTCTGCGTGACCATGGTCATCTGCAGGACTGCAAGTGTGCATGGTGATGGTTGCACTTGCTTGTGCAGTAAAGGTATGACAGGACACATGCGCTGACAAAGAGCACACGCATGCTTTGCAATCACGCAGATAATCGCGCTAGCGCTATGCTCACCTCCGCCCCCACCATTTTTTTAAAAAAATATATGTATGTATATATATGATATGAAAGTATGTACACATAGGTTTCCTCGACGTCGGGTGGTGTTCTGTTTTTTGGTCCCAGCTTCCACACGCACGCATGGACCACGCATGCTGGGTGACGGCATGCCTTCTCGACGGTTTCCTTCAAAACCATGAAACGATTAAAACAGAAATCGTGAGAGACATGTTCCCACGCACAGTCGCGACCAGGGTTTCCTTCATAGAAAACGAAAAAACCCAATAGCATTGAGACCACAGCTCTGGAACCCGCCGTCCGAATCTGGAACCCGCCGTGCGAAGTCCGCAAGAAAACCTACCAAAGGT